TGGGCTTTCTTTTGACGGCCATTTACAACATTCAACACTCTCCACAGTTTGCGCTGCGATGTAACATAATTGCAGAGAGTGTAGTGGGAAAGTATATGTTGTACAAGGGGGATACAGATGGAGAAGTTGGATTGCTAAAATCAACATTGAAGTCGCCAAGTAGCACAGTGGACTGCTGACATCCCTGAACAGCTTGCTCAATGTTCTGATCCAGTGCGGTCCAGTAGGCAGCAGAACTATTTGGCGGCCGATAACAACAGCGGAGGAGCGTTCCATGTCGACCTGGGGCTAGAATCTCCAGCCACAGCATCTCTAGCTCGCACTCTAAATCGGCCCATTGTCGAACAGCCAGTGACTGCTGACAGTACACAGCAACTCCGCCACCTCGCTGATCAGGTCTGTCTCTTCTGCATAGCTTGAAGTGCGGGATGGACAACTCCTGATCGGACACATCCGGGGTCAACCATGTCTCGGCTATTGCGAGAACGTGAATGCCTCGTGTCGAGATGAACGTTTGAAATTCTGCTACCTTCCGCCGAACACTACACACATTCAGAAATCCCATGCTGAGCGACTGGGTCGAGGAGGTAGGTGGTGCTGTGGGTGTTACATTATAGATATAGTTCTGCATTTTTTCTCAAGACACGGTTAGACTCTGGCAAGCGGACTAAATCGTGAGCCTGGAGCTACATTTGTTGGTTTCCGGGAATCCTTCTTCTTCACCCCAGTTGCCAACTCTGCTGAGGACTCAGTGCTGGCATTCATGCCTCGACGTTCAGGCGTGAACCAAGTGTGGATCGCTTTGGTGTTGATGTTTGATGCCACTTCTGATAGGAGTCGCTTTGTCCGTTTTAGATCTGGCTCTGCAATGTTTACTTCGACGTCCGCGAGGGGAGTTCTGGGGTGTGCTGTCATGCCTGTGCGGACGACATGTCTGGCTCAGTATCTGTCAGGTTTTTCAACGCTGAAGTAACCTCAGTAGTCCCCTCATCGACTTCGTAGTTTTCAAAATTAATTCAAATCCGTTTCGACCACTTCAGTGCTGACTGCGGGTTCTCCAACATTTGACCCCACAGGAGTTGCACTCGTACTACACCCACATATCAGGCCACTATGCTGGATGCAAATAACTCGTATCACGTGGACGCATGGCTAAGTTATGACAGGCGCTTCCGGCGCGCCATAGCCTCCCAACCACTGTCGTACGACTGGGCCATCATCGACTCTAATTTGTGGCAGTCGTCATTCACCAGCCGTGGTCGCCCGCCATGTTCGCGCTGTTCTCTGGTGCACCCAGTGGCCCAGGCCCGGTGTCACTTTAGACCAGGGCCTCCATCCGACGGTGCTGGGAGTGGAGGTCCGCCGCAGTCCAGCGCGCCAACCCATCTTGGGAAGCCTATCTGCCGCAACTTCAACAGGGACCAGTGCAACAACTCATTCTGCTATCGTGCCCACGTGTGCCTTCAATGCCGCGGGAAGCACCCAGAAGTCAAATGTGGCAGGGGACAGTCCGCCACCTCAGCGTCTGCATTCTGTGGAGACCACCATCAATTTTAGCCGATTAGCCGGGCTCCTTACCCGTCATTCTGATCACTCCTTGTCTCACTTTGGGTAGCATGGGTTGTTTCACGGTTTCACGATAGGCCATTCTGCTGCTATAATTATCTGGTTTTTCATAGTTCTTCCAATCACCTGTCGGCCATCCGTAATATGCAGTATGTTTCTTCCTATTTGACCGCGCAAGGGTTGCGTTCTCAAACGCGAACTCGCCTCACTCCTGGGCCATCTCTCGTTCACTTCCAGAGCATTTCCGGCCGCCTGTACATTTTTACGCCGCCTGTATGACCTCGACAAGGCCACATCTGAGATGTCATCTCACCGAATGCTGCACCTCTCCGCCTCAGCCAAGGGCGACCTGAGCTGGTGGCACCAGACTCTGTCAACATGGAATGGAAAGTCATGTTTCCTGCTGGAGAAGTGGTTGCCCAGCGCTGACCTCCAGTTGCAAACCGACGCAAATGGCACCATTGGATTTGGAGCCTTCTTCAATGGTCGCTGGTTCAGAGGTGACTGGTCCCCGCATCATCTGGAACTAAGCATCACCTTCTAGGAGCTCTTCGCTATTGTCGCGGTCTGCGCCACATGGGGGATCGAGTGGCTGCGGCTGCGTGCGGAGTTTCACTGCGACAACCAAGCTGTCGTGGAGTGCCTGAAGACGGGCACAAGCCGGTCTCCTGCAGTCATGGCACTCATCTGCACCCTGTATTCAATCTGTGTGAAGCACAATTTCCTGATCCGAGCATCGCACCTGCCAGGAATTTCCAATATCATCGCTGATGCCCTGTCCCGGAACAAGATGTATGCCTTCAGGACCTTTGCTCCTACAGCTGCGGAGCGGCCTGACACCATGGTCCAGCCGATCACTGAGTAAGTGCAAGACATTCACTTAGGATGCAGATAGCGTTCGCTGTCGATCCTACTCCACAATATCAGTCTGTGTTTATGCCTCTAGAACAACGCTCTTGTGCAATACATACTTACCATCTATATTGGTTATTATCACCCGCTATCTCCTCTGGCCTTAATGGGAATGTCGGCATGTCGGCATGTCACATATCAAACCAATAATAAAGAATTTGCAGCGACAGGTATTCTACAAGTGATAAAGACGTTGAGATCGGTCATAGCTCGAAACTTGGTTTGCCGAATGATGTTGTTATGGGATTGTTATGACTTCGGAATCAGTACCAGTCTATTACTGACACCTCTAGAGTCCGCTCTGAAGTAGCACAAGGGACAAAAGCCGACACCAGGACTCAAGTATGGCCTATGCAAATTGTAGCCAAGTGCAAAAACCTAAACTGGCCTGCATCAGAGTGCTAAATCAAAGTACATCAACCAATGAAGGAAGTAACAAAGGAAATATCTTTATCAGTCGCTATTGAACATGAAAACGTTACTGATGTGCATCTACATGTTAAGATAAGGACAGTTCTTAGAATTTTAACCGAACCTTTAACCTCTTTAGCACGACGCTACCTGAACGCGCCCCACGTCAACACCTGTAAAAGTCGCATTTTCCCATGAAAGTACTAGCTGCTCAAGGATCGATAACTTTACCTTCCCTTGGACGAATTTCATGATCTTGGGCTTCCTGGAAAGGTACTGAGACAAGGGACAAACTGATATCAAACCCAGCTCGGAGCAAAACCAACACCCAGTGCTACAGTCTGGCAAACTTCATCCACGCGCTCGACAGACTTGAGCACGGCCAAGACTAACCGAGCTCAAATATTCAGCTGCCATTTCGATCTCCTTGCTCGTATCGAGCTCAATTTTTTTGTGATGACTCACGGGATCCACTACCACCATTTGAATCTTGTTTCCATGGCAGCATGTAGCGCAAAAATGATCCATGATGGAAAATACGCGTTCTGCAGACTGCGCAAAAAAACGAGTTGAAATTTGCCGTGTCGAGTTGCATATCTCAACAACCGGTAGTCGTATCGCTTTGGCGATTGTTTCTATCGCCAGCTGAGAGTTTTCTCTTGCAGATACATGTTTCGATTGTGAGAATTGACCAAGAATGGAGTGAGCTACGATAGTTTGAACAAGTCACGATGTACTCAACACGGACCCCACGACTATGAGATACAGGTTTACTGTACAGTGTACAGCGCGCGTCGTACTAGTACGACGGCCGTGGGGCATGCAACTCATGTGCGTCGTACTAGTACGACGCTCGCGCTAAAGGAGTTAATAGCCTCCTGTTGCACAATAGGCAGGTTTCTTCCCTGCACAGTCCGAAGGCATTGATGAGTCTCTCTCACCAAGCCTCCCAGGGCACCGACAACCACAGGAACCACGTCAACCTGGGTGAGGGACCAAATTCTGGAAATCTCCCGCTTCAAGTCATAATATTCCCAGCGCTTTTCAGCCATTTTCTTATTGATGTTGTTCTCACCGTGCCAGGGACGCTGATGTCTATGATGTATGCGATGTGCTCCTTGTCATCAACAAGGAGCAGATCGGGCCTGTTTGCTGATAGTTTCAGGTCTGTTGGGACCGAATACTCCCAATAAAGCCGATACCGATAACTTTTATTTTTACTTTTATTATTATTTATTGCATTCCCAACTCATCACAACCACTGGCTCTCAGCCGAACCATACAGACACCAGCAAGGACACATCCATTGAGAGATAATATTGTTCCACGCCTCTGACAGCTGTTTCGCTCCCTGTCGGAGCTCATCAGTAGAGAATGATAATGCTGATGATAATGGCGTATTATTTTTTTATTTTAAGTTTTGGGTCGCAAGTATACACGCAAACACACATCTAGCCAAATAAGGCACTTGTCAGCAGTATCCGAATGTTTTCAATCCCTTCTCATCAAGGATTGTACAGGGAATGGCTCAAGTTGGAAAGACTAAAACATATATAGCATAAAGATAATGAGATAACAACACTCGTGACAAGGTGGAAAATTATCATGTCCAGAACGACACTAAACTCAAAGGAAAAAAATAAAAGTGACAACAACATAGTGAGCAAACACATTGTTAACACCTTGACAAGGAGTAACAGCAAACAATTGTAGCGACAACACATTTTCTTTCTGTACCAAAAGTTCAGGATCTAACTTACGAATATACAAACCCTTCTAACACAGCCAAATGCAACGCACATCTACCACGTGACAATATTGAGAAAACATTATCATTGTACAACTCACTTCAATTGGTACGGGCTGACAGATGTTGCTTGTTTGACGAAGTGCGAGTCGACTGCAGTTGTCTTGGCTTCATCACCTTCATTATTATGCTCAACCCGCATATGTAAATCTGGTAAAAACGTGTGTGTGTGTGTTTGTGTGTGTGTGTGTGTGTGTGTGTGTGTGTATGTGTGTGTGTGTGTGTGTGTGTGTGTGTGTGTGTGTGTGTGTGTGTGTGTGCGTGTGCGTGTGCACGTGTACATCTATGTCATTGTCTGACACAGCTGGGTGGCCAGCATGCGGAAATACTGGGATGGAATATTTATATGTAGGTGGATTGAGAAGTTTCAGAAATAGCCAGGACTTTTGCAACTCATTAGGAGGGGCCACACTGGCTACTCCAGTGAATGCTGAGCATTACGAGTGTATTCGCCACATTAAACCACCAACCAAAGCAATATGGACTGGTATATACTCACGGACAGATACTACCCACACTTGGATAAGTGTTGAAGATGGCTCTGCTGTACCATACACTCAATGGAATGCTCAACAGCCTACCACATCCCCTGCTAAACGTTGTGTCCAGATGTTGGCTCATAGCGTGTCTGGAGGTGGAAAATGGGAGAACACCTTCTGTGACATTCAATTGCCAGCTGTCTGCCAAAGACAAAGTAGGTATTTCTATCATGGAATACCATTATGATGATTTCTGTGTAAAGATGAACTCTGAATGCTTGACTGTTTCACTTCACTGCAATCAGGCCCTTTATAAAGAAGGCATGCTTGGTAATGTACTCCGATGCAAGTGAAAACAATGGTGAGTTGCTGTGGATTAACCCTTTCAGTGCCAAGGACGAGATAACTCGTTCTGAAGCAACCACCCTGAATGGCCAAGGACGAGGTAACTCGTCACACACACGCAGCATATAGAAACGAGCATAGATCACTATATAAACAGCTATAACTTCGGCTTCACTACTTCAAATTCAACTTATGATGGCTCATTGGAAAGCTATTGAACGCAAATTTCCAACGATGTATCATTTGGTATAGCACGGTGTGAAATACACAAGTGCCAAAGTGCGAAGTTCGGGAAACGGGCGAATGTTAAATTTCAGGCGTTTGACTGTGACGCACTTCATGCTGAAGTTGGAGGATTTCCCTAGTGCACAGCCCATGTTGTGTGCACCAACACGAGCGCTAGAGCAGCCTGATTCTGCTGGTGTTTGGATGGTTGCTGTACCTTGAGTGTGAGCTCCAAATCAAAAGAAATTGTCTCTGAGTGTAAAATAGCACTGCAAAAGCGAGTTGGAGCGGCTTTTGAAGTGTATGTAGGCCGTTCTCCTGACCCCACAGAGCATTGAGCACCATGAATCGACGGCAGAGATCATTTGCTTTCCAGAGAGCCTAAGATCATGAAAATCCATTACAGGTGAGTGAAATGGCAATATTTTTAATCCCGGGGGGGGGGGGGGGGGGTATTGCATGTAGTGCCCGGGCGTGTGCCGGCCAACCATGTACTGATGTAGTAAGTGCTCCGGCACTGAAATGGTTAAATTCAAAAAGAAAAGCAAGCACAATTATTGGAAAAGCTCGCCAGGAGTAAGAAGCAAGTTTTGAAGCTCTGAGTGTCGTGACCACGTCCCCACCCTAGAAGCATATATGCACTGCTATTCTAACTAGTATTACCTATCTAGCATGGATGACTCCCCAGCGCCAGGCAGCCCAAAGCCTGAGCCCCCAGAGCCACTGTGGAGGTCGATGTCGCCGGCCGAATTGAAGGCCAATACCGTAATATTTGTCGACGGCCTCGCAGGCCAGAAGATAGTAGAAATTGCGGACACCCTCATCGACCAGGGTTATGCTGACGTCGCCTCCGTCCAAATTACCGGATCAGCCTGTAAGGTAACGTTCTGCAGCCAATCTACAACTAAGTCCATTGCAGAACACGGTTTCTTTCTTGGCGAAACACATATTTCTGTCCGCCATTCTCTCTCCTTGCAAGTGCACATCTTTAACGTCCCGATTTGGATCTCCGATGCCGCCATCATACATGCACTCACAAAATACGGTACGGTGCAAGGCACCATTCGCCACGGCCGTACCCGCACAAAGTCGGGCGCATTTGTCGGAACAGGCGTACGCTTCGCAACTGTTCGCCTGAACAACGGCTGCAGGCAGGTGCCATCATTCGTGCGGACAGCCGAAGGCAATACCTTCCGCGTGAAGCATGAGGGCCAGGCGCCAACTTGCCGCCTCTGCAACTCAGAAAATCACCTTGCCGGCTCCTGCCCTAAATCGAACGAGCTACAAAACACACAGACCCGCACTTCAACCAACACGCGGCAGAACCAAAACGAAGACCCAGCACCAGATCCCACACTGGAGACAGCCCTGCCAGGCCAGGCCAGCAGCTTACCGTACGCACAGGCAGCGACCCCGGCCTCTGCCAGCACACTCGTACAGGAAATCACCGAAACAAGCAACACACAGACCCAAAACGACGATCCAGCACCAGATCCGACAGCCTCCACAGGCCAGGTCAGCTTACTGTACGCACAGGTAGCGTCCCCTGTGACCTCTGCCAGCTCACCCACACAGGAAGTCACTGAACACAGCCAGCCCAGCAAAAGTGCAGACCAGCACGGACACACTGCCAGTGCCTCTGATGAGCACCAAACTCGTACTCGTAGAACTAGTACAGATATCGATCGAGCCGACGAGAGCGCAGTCCGCGCACTATCACCCAGCGCAAGCATGTACTGCCCCTCGCCAGGCTCACCTCGCACGGCAGAGGAAGACGACAGCAACGACGAGAGCCTATTTGAGGAAGATGGAAATCGCGCCGAACAACTCCTGCAGAAACTCAATGCAGCGGAGGAAGAATGGAAACTCTACACCGGACGTCGCAGACGCAGATGCCACCAGCTAGAGCAGACGCCCCCAGGCGCACAACAGCCACATGCCTCTAAAAACAAAAACAAAATAAGCTAGCTGACCAGAGTCCTACAGGAGTCACCATGGACCACGCCTGAACTGGAACCAGCATCAACACCAGGTCCCACCAGTTAAAAAAAATTATGAAAAACGGAAATGAACAAAATAGCATCTCTTTCTTCTCCTTCAACGCTCGCAGTCTCTACCCCAAAATGGACGAACTGTCAGCAATAGCATCGTGAACAACGCCACCTTATGATGTCATTGCTGTCTCTGAAACATGGTGTACCCAGGACGACCCAGACTCCCTGTTTGCCCTCAGTGGATACACACTACATCGTGCAGACCGCCCAGACCGCCAAGGTGAAGGAGTGATTCTCTACGCGAACGACACTATACCTCATGAACTCGTCCCTACAACAACCCCAGACAGGTTTGACCTATTATCGCTGAAACTGTCAGCCAACGACAGCACCATCAACGCAACATGCGTCTACCGACCACCCCGTTGCGACCATCGGCTATTCTGCCAGCACCTTGAGGAACTGATACGAGCCATACCAACAACAACGCAAAAGATTATCCTCGGTGATTTTAATGCAAAGAACGCCGCTTGGTGCCACTCTGACACGACAGATGCTGTTGGCGAGTATCTAGCAGTGCTGTTCCAAACTTACTCTCTACACCAACATGTCACATTCCCCACTCTTGTACAGAATGGGCACCCTAAATCCTGCCTAGATCTCGTCGTCACGGATGTAGACAACGACTATGTCCTTATCTCTAGTCTCCCGCAGATCGGCAACTCGGACCACCTATCCATCAGGGGTTTAATCAAGCCAGTCGCTGCACCCCCTCGAGCCGTACCACCTCCCACCCATAACACCACCCATTGGAAATGGTCAAACCCAAGCATCAGCAGTCTGAAAGCCGAAATTGAACGCACACAACTGCTACCGGAAGGTGACACCCTGAACACTACCAACATAGACAACCTGTGGCACTCATGGAAGGACAAAGTCCTCACTTGCGCCCGCAAAGACTGTGCAGTACCTCACTCCCCAAGGCATACTAGCCACCCCGAAAAGCCATGGCTGAACCCAGAGCTCACTAACGCCATCAGAGAAAAACTCCGGCTCTACCGTGCCTACTTGCGCACCCGGACGCCCTGCAACTGGACAGCATACACCACCCAACGCAACAAAGTTACTCACCTTCTCCGAATCGCTAAGTCTACATATGTCAGTAATGGCACTGGGACGAGCCACTCCACACCAAACCTACACAAACTGATGCGCGGCCTCCAGTCCTCACAACGACCTACTCTGCCAGACATGTTCTCCCAGGGCCAGACTCTCTCAACCCCCGCTGAAAAAGCAACCGCCCTGAATGCTTTCTTCATCTCGCAGAGCCAACAGTCAGTCACAGGATGCCACGAGGAACTTCCCTCCATTCATCCCCCCCCCCCACCCAATACACCTGGCCTCACTACATTTGAAACAACAGCCCAAGAGGTCTCAAAGTTACTGTCTAACCTGGACCCGTCAAAGAGCCCGGGCTGTGATGGCATACCAACCCGCCTACTGAAAGAGGCAGCCAGTTCACTTGCGCCGTCCCTAGCAACCCTTTTTAACATCTCCTTCGAACGTTGCACTATCCCGCAAGAGTGGAGGGACGCAACAGTCACCCCCATCCACAAGAAGGGCAGCAAAACCGAGCCCTCCAACTATCGACCGATATCGCTACTCAGCGTGACGTCGAAAGTACAAGAGAGGATAGTTGCTGACCGCATCTCAAAGCACATCCAACCGCACCTCCCCAACGGCCAATCAGGCCTTCGGCCAAACGATGGCACCACACAGCAGCTATCTCGGTTAATCCATCAGATCACCGAGAAAAGAGACGCCGGGCAAACAGTAATTGCTTGCTTCTTCGACCTATCTAAGGCGTTTGACCGGGTGTGGCACCAAGGACTGCTTGCAAAATTGGCCCACCTCGGACTCGATGGCAAATGCCTCCAGTGGCTTGCCTCCTATCTCACCAATAGACGACAACGTGTGCAAATGGAGAGCAGCAAATCAACCTGGCTAATCATTCCAGCGGGGGTCCCCCAAGGCTCTGTCTTGGGGCCGCTTTTGTTCACGGCCTACACAGTTGATCTGCCAACCGCCTGCATAAATGCCAACACTGAGTGCAGCCAGTTTGCCGACGACACTGCCATCATTGCCGCTCACGAGAATTTTCTAGCCGCAGGAGAGCACCTCCAGTCAGCTGTGACAACCGCGGCACAGTGGCTGAAGGATTGGCATCTCCTGGTCAACGAAAGTAAGACCACTGTCATCCACTTTTACCACACCAACCGGCCACCTCCCAGACCACCATCAATCACACTCAACGATACAAACCTCACTGTGGCCTCAAGGCATCGCCACCTTGGCCTCCTCATACAGCAGAATCTATGCTGGAACTCGCATGTTGACTACATCATCACTAAAGCGACCAGGAAAAAGTTCCTTCTCCTGCAACTACGCAATTCCTTAAACACTTCTGCTCTCTCCTCCATCTATCTAACGTACATTCGCCCTATTCTTGAGTATGCTTGCACTGTCCTCTCACTCCTCCCCGCAACCCTGAACGACCGGCTTGAGCGCATCCAACGGAGCGCTGCTCGCCTCTGTTTGCATCTCCCCCTCTTTGAACACAGAACCCACTCCGTGCTGCTGCACCGACTCAA